TGACCAATTATCAGGAAGATTTAAACAATTAGGTAAATAAGTATTTTATTTTAATTTTCCTTGATTTTAAAAATATTTGTTATATTAGAAATAATATAGGCGTTAAAAATAAGAAATAAAAAAAATGGTATTTATAGAACTATAGTAATTAAGAATTATATATATATATATATATATATATATATATATATATATATATATATATAAAATTTATTAGCATTTATTTAACAAGAAATTTATATTATTTTTATATATTCTGGTATTGACATTTATTTTCAAAGATTTTTATTATATTTACAAATTACAAAAATAAAATACTTAAAAATGTTTGATACGAATTCTTACTTGTGCATTAGTATTGAATACCTGTGATAGATGAGTCATGATGAAGTCATGTTCTCCAAGCTTTTTAATATTCCTTACAAGTACCTTCTACTGATTCTGAATAAGCTTGTGCAAACATATTGATGGCTTTGATGTCACAACTATTCTCACACTAAAAATTGTGATTTTTTCCAAAAATTTTGAACATTAATTATTTTATAATTTTATCACCTTTTTATAATATTTCGGAAAATACAACTGAACATTACATTTTGAAATTTTTTTTGTCAATATTTTTGTTATTTTGTCTTTTTCAGCTGTCAAGATTTCATCAAAAGCACATTCTAGCACAAAAAAATCTACAAATGAAGATGTAGATACTTATCATAAAAATAAACAATGTTTAATGACAAGATCTTGCGATGATGAATCGCGGCATAATAAACCGTCTCATCAAGGCCTTTCCCAAGAACTCGAATATCCAATTGAATCCAATAAAAATGTATATTGGACGTCTCCGAAATCCGCAACGATAAATGACTTGAGTCGCGTTCAGATTAACAATTATGACGACGACGAAAACGAGAAGCTGTACACGAAGAATATAGAGTACATCGACGTCGATCACGAGTACAAAGAAGTAAATGATTTTGAAGATACATCTTGTACAATCACTAACAAAGTATCAAATATGAATTACATTACCGATGATTTTAACATAAAAAACACAAGCGGAAGAGAAAACAGTTTATCCAGCGTTAGTTATGCAATGGATTTAAAGGTGGAAGAGAGTGATCTAGATGTATTTAACGTCAGTAATGTCGATGCCGGTTCCGATGGTGCAGTGAGCGAAGCTGGGACTTACACGATTCATAAAGATTATACCGACGAGGAGAAAGCAAGAATGGATATTGATAAAGTTTTTAGCGTTGGTGTTTTGACAGAAGATGAAAGTAATGAGGCGTACGTTCATAATTTCAAGGTAGGTAATATTTGTAAAGATTTGTGTTTGCACGTAATAGTATAAATATTTACGATATGACTTTGTTTTACAGATGAGCATCTCTCGCGATAACAACGCGTGGATATCGGAATGGGCTACACAAGTAGTGGAACATAATTCACTACCTCCGATGATAGGCGGCTCAACGGGGCGTACACCGCCTCTCAGTCCTACTAAGATACCATCTCCGGTCCATAGTAGATCTCAACGAATGTCGCGTAATCGTTATGTATGTATCATATGAGATATTCTGCATCAATTAGATCTTAAATAATTTAAAGCTTCGCTTATTTTCCGAATTTGGATCGCGACAAGGAAGAAAAATCCGGAAAACAAGCAAAATATTGGACAATACCGCGAAAACTTAAAATATCATAATTCAAGAATTCTTTAAGTCTTTTAATTATACCGTGATCTTTTCCGTTTAATTTACATAGTTTTGTGTGCAGGAACAATCGGACAGTAATCCAGATACTGATACGTATGTACGAATAAAAGAAAGGATTGGTTTGGCCTCGAGTCAACATCAGATCATAGATTCCGGCGGTGAATCTGACGATGATACTAGTAATAGTTACAACACGCCGCCTAACAGCTCGCAACGTACGCCTGTACATAGTGTCGCAGCTAGACGCAGCAGTTTGTCCGAGTCATTGTTTCGAAGAGCCAACACCAACGAAAATAGACGAAGCGTCCGCAAATACTTAAGTTCGGCCAGATCAAAGACTGCTGACACGAATGTAGAATTAATGAACAGCCCGTCCCAAGTTTTGTCACCCCTCCATTTGGAAAGAAGAAGCAGCTCTCTTGATAGGTGAACCATTTTGTTTGATACATTTTGATCAGCAATAGTTAGATCAAATTAGTATAATTAATATATTTTCTTCTTTATATATGTGCATATATTTTATAATTATATTACATATAATTTAATGTTACTATTTAATATTAATTTTTCTTTTCTATAATTTAGGAAGGAATATGCTTCTGATACAACGGAATCTAATACGTCCAGAAGAAATAGTATGAAATATAAGGAAGAAGATTTTAAGCAACAGCACACAAACAGTCCCATCTTAAGCCGTCTCAGACCACCTACGCCAAAATTGACTAACAGTCCTATTGTAAGTCGTAAAGCTGCTGCAACAAAAGTCCTGAATTCTCCTATGTTAGAACGATCTAAGCACATGACGAAATCGTCCCAACAGGCGAAAAATATAGGATATTTTACATGTGTCGAAAATAGGTATATATCTTTGTACATGATTTCATTAAAATATTAATCTCAAACTGCTTAATATTTACATTTAGTTATATCTTTTAGTTCTTATCTTTTAACTAGCACATTAATTTTTTTACAGTCCGTATATGTTGAGAAAATCCAATAGCACTACAAATTATCATGAAGGAACCAGTTTTGATAAAGATATCTCTATTAAAGCGCCTAATGTGTCACGTAACAGTCCAGAATTTCAACGGCATCTCAATATACAAAGATCATCGAGTAACGCAAGTATTAGAAACATAAAGTCGCAGAATATGGTGACGCGTCGCAGCAGCTTCAACAACAGCGACGTTGACAGGATATCGTCAAGAGGAAAATTTCACGTCGCCTCTGACAGTAGCAGCGAAACTGGCGAACAACAAAGGAAATCTCCATTAACACCGATCTCATCCGGGATCAAGTTAAATAGAGCTTTTAGTATAAGAAGAGCAAGGTATGTCACACAAAAACTACATAGAGATTTTAATATTATATGGGAATGTATAGGACAGAATAAGAAAGTATTAATACATCTATTTATCTCAAAAACTATAGATTATACAAATAAAGCCTTATTATTTGTAGATTAAATTGCGAATCTGATACAACGCCGAACACAACCCCGGAAGAAAGGCGTAGACGAGCACAGTCTGAAGTAAAGACTTCAGCACCTATGAATAAACAACAAAGTTATCACCACAGTCGCACAAGTAGCGTTGGAGCGCACAGTAAGGAGTCATTGAAGAAATCAGAATCAACGAAATTTAGGACACCATCTATATCTAGAACTGATACTGGTAGATTTAGTATGAGAGCTACTAAGCCTACTCATGTAAGCATTAATTTTAAATGATTAATTTCACATTGCCTGTAAAGTATTTTAATTATAAGATTTGTTTTCTAAGCATCCTCCGGGCAATCAGAAAGCGAACCAAAAGCCAAGTAAAGAGCACAAGAAGTCTGGTAGAAGTAATTCCACTCTCACATCGAAGGAAGTGGAATTTCAGAATTGGAAAAGACGGAAAAGCTATGATCCAATGAAAGCAGCGGCGGAAGGTAGAAAAAAATTGATAGATAATACAAAAAAGCATCACAGTACCGAAGATAGTTCTGGAAAGTGAGTATATTGATACAGAGTATTTGGTACATGCATGATCCCTTTGAAATTTATTTAGGAATTATATTTCTCCTAGCCATGACAATTCCGTGTTGAGATCTGCGAGTTTTCATGGTACAGGAGGTGCTCTCTCACTGGCCAATGATTGGTCAGACAATGAGTTTAATGATTCTTATCATGACAACCAAGTACCACCACCTAGCAGTCCGCAGTTGGTATGTTAAAATAATATATATTTAACTGATAATTGATTTACATTCTTTTACACACACACACACACACACACACACACACATATATATATAGTATTCATTGTAAAATTTATTATTAGGATAGCGATAGTGACTTGGAAACTTCATCTTATCTGCAAACAACTCAAAATGTCGTGTCTGCCATGTCCGCTCGCATGACAGGATATCGCCCTCCTCTCGACTCGGATAACGAAAGCGATGAAGATACGAGTCATAGCCTGCATCAAAATATACCGAAGGGACTGCGCCATCCAAGCGACACCGAGAGCAGCGATGAACGACATCCCATGGCGCAATCTCCTATCTCCAATACAAAATATAATAGAGAACTTAGGTATGTATTAGTATCAGTTACGCAGTTTCTTCATGCATGTCTGATCGGCGTTTTTAGTTTGCGTAGAGTAAAACTGGACCCGCAACGAACAAAACCTGTGTCTTCCACTGCAAACAAAGCTAAACATTTCTTGCACGATGCCCGTGGCAAACCCGAATCCATTTGCAATATCAGTAGAACTGATTCGGGACGACCTAGCACACGAGTTAGTAGAACTTTGGGCATGGTAAGTCTATAACATCTTTTTATTTCCTGATATAAATGTAAATCAAATATATATACTGTATTATAATATACGAGTGTTTTTATAGGGGCCTAAAAGCAAACCAAAAGAATCGAAAAAGCCTCCGGCGCCAAATATACGGGAGGTCGAGATGCAAAATTGGAAACGTCGCAAAAGCTACGATCCAATGAAAGCAGCAATGGAAGGAAGGAGGAAAGCAGGTTTGGCGAAGAAGAATATCAACGAAAATATGTCACCAAGGTAAACCGTCAAATATTCCTTGTAGAAAAAGAAATAATAGAAATAAGAAATTCCTCCTAGGCAATAAGAAAACCTGAAAGATACGTGCATCTTGGGTTTTCGTGTTGCTTGGGTCATTTTATATGCATGATTGAGAAAATAATCATTTTACTGTGTTGGTAGGACCGATAGCGATCGATAAACTAAAAATAATGGCAAAAAAAAGTAAGAGTGGTATGGTATAAATTTGTTTGGACATTTTGTCCTATAGATTTTCTCAAAAAGTGTATTCAATAGATGTTCTTCGCTTTTTAAGAGCACAAAACATAAAACACATTATTGACACAAATGCTTGTTTTTCCTATATTGCACTAACTGGAAGATTCCACCAGGCGAAAATTTTCAAAATAACGAAAGAAATAGCCTGTCTATGTTTTGCATTGGTTTATCTATTTTTACGATATTTTTTGCGAGGAAATTATAGCGTCTTATAATTAACTTCAAGAAAACTCATTTAATCTTGAATTTGGTTTGTCTAATATTGTGATTACGTTCAATTTGATCAGCGAGCTTCAACGACATCATGCGATGTAAATATAGATCGAAATATTTTTTTTCAGATGGAGGGATGTGTGTAAAAAATATTTTAGATTTTTGTTGCTTTACTTGCGTTTTATCGATTCAACTGTGCTACATATTTTTCTATTTGTATTTAGCCATGTAGCAAGGTCACAGAGTTTTCACGGATCAGTAGGATTGGTTGTCAGTGATTGGAGCGACGAGGAACCAGTCATATCTGCGGACGAAGCCCCGTTATATTAGAATTGTCTCAAAACTATCGGTAGCATATAGAAATAAGTACGCGTGAAAGTAAGATAAAGCCAAATTATTGACAAAATTCTTGTATATAAAAGCGCCAAAATCGAGTGAATTTTACAAAACGCTTTACGAGCACTCCTATATGTACCTAAAACGACTCTAGCAAGACAAGTAACTACATAAAGAATTCTTTCTATATTATAAATTTATGATCTATATATATAAAGATGTGCACAGGGACTGCCGACCCATAATTGCTAAATTCTGAGTTACAAAATTGTGCTTCCAAAAAATGATACTTAAAAATATATGCTGAAATTCACAGTATTAACATTAAAACGGCCAATTGCTTATTTTTAATTTAATTAATATAGAAAAATGTTTTTTCCGCATTTTGTTTTATATTCTTTGTTGCACGTAAAATAAAATATTGCCTAAAAATGTAGTTACGTCGAAGAAATGTTTTACACAAACGATATTAATGTAGAAAAGAAGATTGATTGAAGGTTAAGGAAAATTAAGATACTTTAGTATCAAGTGAAATATAACGGAAAAATGTGTATTTAATTTAATAATATAATACAAGGGGTGCTATAGGTATAGAGAAATATATGTGTGTTATTGGTTTAATTATATTTGGACCAATCGCGTAGCGTTTATGTACAAATATTTGTATCTCTATAACTGCATTTTATCTCTTATTGATGCAGTCTATTCATCTAAACATAAAATACGCATGTCCGTCGCTTGAGTAACTTATGAAACGTATTTTTTCATTAAGAGCAAGAAAATAGAAAAGCGCAAGGATGTTTAATGTGTAAATTTATGTATCTTTCTTTCTCGTATTATTGTTAAGATGTATGTATATTACACGTTGTTTGTTTATAATAGTTCAAATATCATATTAACATTGGTACTCGCGATTTCTTCCTGTTAGCGTAAAGATCGATATAGAAAAAATAACGTGCTACGCTCTCTTCCAAAGCGCGCAATGAATTGTAGTAAATAACTTTCCTCTATAATAATTTAATGTGATCACGAAGGGCTTTACGATGATCTTAAACATTAAGGTGTATATAATACTATCGATCGGTTTAACAATACATTCTTTGTTTCTGATTTTATATAAACTAACAAGTTTTTCCATTTTGCTCTAGTAAGTTGAATTATCCTTAATACATTCGATCGAGTAATATTACATGACACTAATATAACATAAGGTATATTTTATACATAAGTACTTGTTCAGAAAATTGTATCACTTGTTCAACAGACTGGTTGCTCTATTGTAAATTTGATGAGAATTTTATCTGGATTATCTTTCCTAAAATTTCGTAAAATTTATGCGAGTTTGTTGTGCATATCGCAAGCATTACGATAAAGGATTATATTAATGCTCCCTTTATTGCATAATCCCTAAACTATTATTCTGTTATCTAGCAACAGTTTTACAAACAACTTAACAATGTAACAACTTTTGTGATATTTTGTAATACACTATAATATTTATTTTTCTATATTATACAACTGAAAATTTAGTTAAAATTATTTATTAAATTTTATGCTTGTTAATTTAAAGTTTATTGATCTACAACACCTTTATTTATATGGAATTATGCAATAAAGGTTTTAGAAAAAATGTGATATTATGGCAGGATTAGAAAGTTACTGAGTTAAACAATAATAATACGGATTTGTTAAAAATGAGTAATAATAGTTTCAATAATTGAGCATCGATATTATGATTTTGTTTTAGTGATAATTTTGTTATGCTACGCAAAATTTGACAGTAACATTGTAGAACTAACTGTAACTTGTGGTTTTTGTTATTAAAATTTATATTAATTTTTTTGTGGCAAAATAAATATAGATGTATTATGTACAAACATTTAATTTTTCGACAAATGAAATTTATCTGATCTTTGTGTGATAATATCTCATGTATTAGAAGTTGGTCGGTTTACTACATGAGTTTGTGTATACATTTTAAGTATGTTGCGATTGTACAAACTATATTTTCTCATATACATTCTCTCATACACACATTTATTGGTGTTTAGCATTCTTGTTCTTCCTTTGAAGTAAAATGGGCTTCCAATGCGCAAAACACTATGTCTTCAAGATAGACACATCAAATTGCATAGAGCGTTACATAAATATATTGCGTAATTTTAATTTTGTAATTGGAAATATGAGAGTAACTTAGAAAAATATTATTATATTCCAGTTAATTATACTATTTGTGCAAATCTAATTTTGATTTCATTTTTCTATAAAATTGTAATCTCAGCACACATAAAACTAAAGAAATTTCAATTATTTTTGTAGATAACAAAAATACTGTCAAGATCCTCACTTTTGTAGCAATTTCAAACAACGATTATATGTTTGTAAGCTTTTTGTTTTACCAATGAATTTTTTAGATAATCAATTTACATATCTTAGTTTTATTATAATGGCGATATTATTATATCTCAGAATATTTTCTTATTAATATGATCTGTATTGCTTGTTTGTACATTATGTACACATATATTCGTGTAATAACATAATATAGATGTGTCTTGTTTCATCACAGGAAGGAGTGCGTACTTACAGGATGTCTTTCTTATCGTGATCATTCTGCTATTTTTGATGATAACAAATTTTCATGAGGGATATCAGATACTTAAAGTGGTCATAATAAGAAGCACACTCTGTATATGCAATTGTAATAACAATATGATATATTTTTGTATATTCACAGCCTACAGACAGGTGTGTTAAGTTCCATTTTACAGATTAATTAACTTTTATTAGAATATGTACAATTATTTTGAAGAGTACTACGTATGAAAATATAGTACTAATATCATAAGTAAAAATGTGTCTATCAATCGTTGCATATATATCTTAATAATATACAAGTATAAATGGCAAAGCAGTAAAAGTGTATTTCAATTTTTGAAACATTATCCAATATCGGAGTGTCAAGGGACCTTATAACTCGCGAAGCTTTCTCGAGCTTATGTTATTATAGATGTTATTGCAATTTTCTAAATGCCAATGAATTCAATCGACAAAGCAAGATTATTAAAAAAGCTACATGTATCTTAGAGAGAATATTATACAAATCTGATGTTTATATATAATATCGAATCTCGGGAGCGACGTTGCGAAGAGTAAGAAGTTTGTTAATGACAATTTGATTTTTTGATTTTTATTATCAAAGTATATATTCTATCATAAATATAAAAATACATTTGTTTATGCATTATAAAGAAAACGAAGAGTTTTGATATGCATATTAACATTTTTATAAAAATGTAACATCTTAAATTATCACATTGTAATAATATTAATCAAAGACAATGAATGTGTGTAAGTTTATCTTAGCGTGAGATACTAATAATTTTGTAAGATTTTCAAGAGGAAGGAGATGAGGGTGATGAGAATTTCTGTAGTGGATTGAGTTCTTCCAATTGTTCTAATTCCGCGTTACTTATGATCTGTGCGATTTGAAGTTTTACTGTGGCTTGTCTTTGCGGGGAAAAAGTTTTCAACGTTTGCGCATGACTTAAGAAGAGTAGATCTACCGCATCCATGAATTTCTGCAGTTTGCCAGTTTGCAAATATTCGAAAGTTTCGTCAGGTATATTGGAGTACAGATTTTGTTGCGATTTCCGTTTTCTTAAAGACAACACTAATGGCCTCTCGTTAGATGGTTCCTCGTAATACTGAACGTATTCTTCCAACGTAGGTTCGGACTTTATCTTGGTTTCTGCATCGCTGTCTGAATAATCGTCAGTGTGAATGTAATCTGTCCTGTACATAAAAACCCCCCATTAAATCGTTCAAATATTTTTAGAAGTTGATCTAAAAAACTTCTTTTCTCTAAAAGAAATTTTTTCTCTGAAGAAATTAATTTTGACTTTTATATTCACAAAATATCCACGACATCCTCAGTATATGAATATATTTTATCGAAGTCGTAGTTGTGGTTCGTAATTAATTACATCATGCATTTATCTTGTTTCTCAATCTATTACGTCGAATGACACATCTTCGGTATCCGTCAACAGTAACGGTTGATTCTTTAATAACTTACTGTCTGGTAGTCACATGTGGCTTCAAAAATTCCATTTGACTAGCCCAGGCCCAATGTTTGTATTTTTTACTACATTGTCCTGCGGTGTTTGATTGTGTTCGCAAATATTTAGCATAACTATCTCGTAGATGTCTCCATTTACTCTTCGCAACGGAACCTAGAACACAATTAAATTGAATTAAATTAATTTATTATGCAATGAAAAAAGAAGATAAGATATACATAACAAATTTCTAAAGATTTTTATAATAAATAATAGCTGTTTGCAAACGCTGCAATTTTTATAATGTAAAAGAATCTCGATTGTAATAAAATTTATAAAAATTAAAATTTAATTACTTAAATTATTATTTTATTATTTAATTAAATTTAATCACATTGAATTTAATTTTTATATTTTATATTTTTATATATTATTTTATATTTATATTTAACATTGCATTCATATTTAATTTTGGGTCTTCACTTATTTTCATAATTATTATTTAAATTGTTTAGATGTAATCACAGTATATAATTTAATCTAGTATTGTTTTTATATATTTTACAATGCAATATTCGTAAAAAACACTAACAAAGTATTAAAAATACACAAGTAAAAAGTAAGTTTTTACAAGTAAAAAGTAAGTTTTCAGTAAAAACTAATGCTTAATGATTATTATCTCTGATTGATGTATTTTATAGATCTGTCGAAGATCTCTAAAGATACAATCACTTCAATCACAGGCAATAATTATTAAAAGTTTATTAAGCGATGGTTTCTGGTAAACGTAGCTATTGTATAAATATAATAATTACACTAACGTAATATTTCTTTATTAATATGTAATAGTGTTGCGACGACAAGTTTACTCGCACAATTGTAATAGCGATTTTATTTAAGATTCGTTGAAGCCAGTCGCTCACCATTGTCTAAACGCAACTTAATCGCAATGTTCGCCCAAGTCTCTGCCTTCTTCGCATTGTCCTTGTAATCTTTATTCTTCGTATCATAAAGTATAGGACAGTTTCGTACGAGGTTGATGAGTATCTCGCTTTCGCACATGGTGCGCGATAGCGCGAAATTGTACTGTCCGAAGCACCGCATGAGTGAGCGGCGAACTGCGTAGACCGGATACGGTAATTGTTCCTCGGTCGTCGTCGGTCGCTTCTGCCCGCATGCGGTTGTCCGACCCAGGGCCGGCTGCGTGTCAAGCGATACCCTCATGATACAAGATATCTGCAGCTGAAAAGAATAAATGTCGTCAGTTGATAGTTAACACCGTGTAATATTATTGTATTCATTACTTATAAGCCTATATATTGTGTGTATAGCACATCGCATAATATTTAACACTCCATATTATTCATACTTCTTTATAGATAAATAGTGGACAAGTAATGACTGTAGTAGATTTACCGAGTATCTTTTATTCGCGACTGATAATATTACTGATAAAATCGAATACTTATCACCTGTGTATGCGATGGAAAAATCAGTTTTAAGTGGAGTCAACTTTTCTTATGAACTTTTCTTACTTCTGATATTTCCTAGATGTTATTATAAAAATTGTATAGGTTTAATCGAGTCGTAACTCGTTAAGCGACAGTTGATACTCTTTCTTATTTGACTTATTAGCAAAATAAGAAAATATTTATCATATATAAATATTTATTTGATTAAAAAGTACTATGTGTATAACAGTACCAGTAGGACACAAATTGTTTCATAATTATTTTAAGGATATGTTTTTTAAATAATTACAACCTGATATTGCAATTCTGATCAAGATATTAAAATCTCTCTTAGCATTTACATTAATTACATTGGTAATTACCAATTATATTGGTAATTATATGTCCAAATTAATATTGGTAAGTGCTATTTTTTCTTATTCGCTTATCATTAATGATGCTCGCTAATTAGTGTAAAAACAATATGTAAATTATAGCGGAAGTACACATAATCCTACTAGGAAAATTGCGCACTCCTTTACGCGCTGGCATCATTTGTTTACGCAGATAGATAAACACAAATATAAAAGTTACAATGCTTAAAAGAATGTACAACTAACATACGGAAAACTCCGGAGATACTGATATTTAAAAATTAGATAAGCTATAACAGATAATACTAATGGTATACTAGAATCCTATTATCAATTAAGAAAATGGTATATAGTAGTGAACAAGGATAATAGTAGAATATTTATTACATATATCGGACAGCTATATAAACCGGTATAAACGGCGTCGCTGAATCAGTTGTAAACAGGAGTAGTGTAATGCGCGAGATGCAACTATTGTTACGAACCGGTAAGTGCACAATTTCTTCAGATTAAGACAGAACAACGTGAAGAACGTATGTGTAAAAAATGTAGAGTATAATATATCTATAAAATATTTAAAAGATATTCTCTTCAAACTCTTATATGTTCTCAAGATACTTATATCATAGGGATTTTCGGTAACTAATGTAATTTCCGACATCATAGATATATGCGAAAAAAGATACTATATCGCGTTTTACTTATTCGCCAGTGAAGAATTACTATTATCATGTAGCTTGATCTAAATCTAAACTTGACTATATTACTATCAGTCTATTATATTTTCTGATTTTCGTAATATCTTATATTTACTACAGCAATGCGTTCTTTGATAACATTACTACTACTTGCTGCCAATGTGTTAGCTGACAGCAGAGAAGTCGTCAATATTGACAAAAGTATCAAGATAAGCATTAAAAATGGATTTTTTCAAGTGAATATAATTGATCGTATCATGATTCTCAATCTTACGAAAAATGGTGAGCATCGTAGTAACCATCTTTATTTATCTTGATAAATTGATTTTTTTACTACTTCTGCAAGTCTAAATGACATAAAATCGCTGAAAATTACATTTCAAACTTAATAATATGCAACAATTCTTGCAGACGGCGAGAACATGATCAATGTTTTTCATACTAAGACTCAACCGGACACGCTGCAGGATCCCTTCACGTTCGATCAGAGTTGCGGCGCTAATAAAATCTGCGTAAAAAGCGGCAAGATCTTACACACTGTTATCCAAGCCGATACGAACAGCGAGGTCGTCAATGTTACTCGCAACATCGCCAATCCCTCTGCCGAGATCATCGATTGTTACCAATTCACTGAGGGCACGCAGTGGTTTGGCGGGCCAGAATTGCGTTATCAACATTGGCCTATACAACACATGTATTATGAAGAAGAACCATACCTGCCGACACATCCTGCAAATATGGCATTAGCTGAACGTTATTGGCTCTCAGGCAAAGGAATTTACATCTACGTCAGCGAGAAGAATTCGCTGTTCATTGATCAGAACAATTATAAGGACAAGTACTTGTGTTTGATTGCCAAAAACAAGACTCCTTACCGACATCGAGAGAGTGTCCAACTCAATTACGAATTGGGTGTCTTCGCAGACCCAAAAACCGCTCATCAGTACGTGGTGACGACTCATCTGGGCAAACCCAAGGGTCATCCTAACGAGCGGATGGTCCGGCATCCCATATGGTCAACTTGGGCAAGGTACAAAGCTAATGTCACCGATAAGGTGGTAGAGACTTTCGCGGACGAGATCATCGCCAATGGGTTCAATAATAGCCAGCTCGAGATTGATGACAATTGGGAAACCTGTTATGGCTCCGCCGAGTTCGATCCCACTAAATTTCCCAATGTCACCGCTCTTGTACAGAAATTGAAAGAGAAGAACTTCCGCGTCACTCTATGGATACATCCTTTCATCAATAAAGACTGCGAACCCGCATACTCTACGGCGTTGAACAATTCATACTTTGTAAAGAGCCTCGACGGACGCGTTCAGATGCAGTGGTGGCAAGGTATGGCTGTATTAGAATAAGTAAAACCGATCAGACTTTCTATTAGGATTTATAAAATCAACTAGTAAAAATGAATAAATAAATGAACAATATACCTTTTCGTAGCTCTTGTCTTTGATGCATATTTCTTTTTACAGGTCAAAATGCTGCCACGATCGACTTCACAAATCCGGAAGCAGTAAGCTGGTGGATAGCGCGACTAAAGCTTCTCCAGAAGAGCGGTATCGACAGCTTCAAATTCGACGCGGGCGAGGAATCTTGGTTGCCGCAGGTGGCGAGTTTAAACGGTTCTCTCGACATGCAACCGGGAATATACACGCGTGAATACGTTGCAGCGCTGTCCGCCAACTTCGATGACAATATCGAGGTACGAGTAGGATGGCGAACCCAGGAATTATCGATGTTCGTCCGCATGATCGACAAAGACACAAAGTGGACGTGGAATAACGGTCTGCCAACTCTGATCACAACTCTGTTGCAAATGAATTTGAACGGATATGTCTACGTCCTTCCGGACATGATTGGCGGCAACGGCTACCTGGACGGTTCGCTCAATGGTACAGAGTACCCATCTAAAGAGATATTTATCAGGTGGCTGCAGGCAAATGTTTTCATGCCGTCGTTGCAATATTCCTTTGTGCCATGGGATTTCGACAACGAAGTGAGTAGCTTTGGAAAATAAATATTTCATTCTGAATGAATAATTAATATTATCACATAACTTAATTATTAAGTAAAAATATTATATAATCATAAAATTACCTTTCATTATCATATATTAGATTTCAAATATCGTCTTTACAAATAATATATTGTAACTATACTATGGTATATTTTAAAATTTATATCCTGAAAGAGACAGAGAGATCAGATGAAGAAAGAATCAGTGAATGACCATCTAGTCTCACGAATATTTTGATTTGTAATTATATCACAGTTATAAATTGACGATATATCTTTAGATTTGAAAAAATATATTTTTATTATTTTTTATCGTCACAGAAAAGGAAATAATGCAGTTCACCAATATACGGTGATTCACTGATATATGTATATACCCCTTCCCCCCTCTATACACTTCTAAAAAAAAAAAATATTTACTTTTTATATTAGACCATCGCCATCTGTAGAAAATACACTGCATTGCATGCAGAGTACGCGTCAGAAATTTTAGAACATATGCAGCGAGCTATCACCAACGGTACACCCGTAAATCCACCTATCTGGTGGGTCGATCCGACTAATAAGGAAGCTCACAAAATTAACGATGGTAAGTTCTTAAGATGTATAATGTTCAATTCCAAATTTATTGAGTCACGTAGATAAGTAGTAGCTCGATAAATTTGGAAGACACGGTAGACATGGTCTCCAAAAATTTGTTAATATTATTACACAACTGCAGAATATCTTCTTGGAGATTCCATTCTGGTTGCTCCAGTGATTGAAGAGGGTGCCATTACTCGTGATATTTATTTACCTGCGGGAATATGGCTCGATCCGAAGCGAGAGGTGATTTCTTTCGGACCGAAATGGTTGAGAAATTATCCCGCTCCTTTAGATGTACTTCCGTACTTTATAAGAGCTAAGTCAAATGAAAAACAGCACTAAATAACAGAAGTTTCACTTACAAAATATTTATTTATACAAATGTATGTAAATTGCTCCGCTATGATGTAACCATGTTAAAGTGTTTTTATTTTTAAATTACACGGATGTTTTACTTCCATAAAAATACGTTACCGGCGAAAGTGGAATTTTTAATTGATTTCGTTTGTTATTATCCTCAACATTACAATATATTCACTACCTGCTTACCATTAAAGATCGTATCTCTGTATCGAGCTTTTTAATTATTATGTCATCTAACGCGTAACTCCCGGTCCTTAAAAGAGAGTCGCGTTCTTCCTTCAGCGTTTGTAATCGCTCGTTGCACTCCTTCGGTTTACCAGGTACAGTTTTGTTACAAGAAACTTTAGAGTAGATATTGTGGACTGGCGCAAAGATTTGACTATAAGTTTCTTTCGGAGCGAAAGATTGCTTCGGCTTGATTATGTCAATTTCCTTCTGCAGTTCGTTCAAAAGAATTTGATCATCGTTCAAAGCTCTTGTGTCTATAGATAAAACTTCCGCCAAGCTGTGCACAGAAGAAGTGAAATTTAGAAGTCATACAGAGATATTATATTTACAAAATTTAAATACAGTACGTCTTTGTGCAATATTTTACACATTATATAATATTTAAACAATATGATATTGTTTAATCAAATTTAAAGTCAAATTTACAAACTTTTAACTAGGATTGGATTTTTTAACTAGGACAGTTGGTTTAACTAAAATAGAACATCTGGTGTACAGGTAAAGTTAAAACGATATAATACGTACTCGACGTTTTTTAGTTCCTCTTTACTGTTCTTTATTTGAACTTGATGATGATCAATTTTCATTCTTTGTATTTCACGAACAGCTTTGCCCCACTCCTCTTTAAAATATGATTTCCCCTTTTGGGTATTGTCCAATTTTTCTTTAAGTATTTTTATCTCTTGCAGAAGTGATGTTGTCTGATTTTGAGTTAAGGATTTCTCCTGATATGTTTGTAATTCATTTGTCTGTTTGCTTATCGATGATTTTAAATTTTCATTTTCGTACATCAATATTTCTACTTGCGCTTCTAGAGCAGTTTTCTTTTCCTCGAGTTTGCTTACCTGCATAAAATACGGCATAAAGTTAATTTTTATATCTCATAATATTGCTAAACATATGACTTAGAATAAGAAAGATAAACATATGACTTAGAAAGAAAAGAATGCAGAGAAAATCCTTGGAATATACTTACGAACCTTTTCTGTAAGATCATTCTGCATTGCATGCCAAGAATCCTTAAGCTCCTGTAATTTAACTTCATATCTCCATTGTATGTCCTCGTTTGCTTTAATCAATCTAGTCTCATTTTCCAAACTCTTTAATCTACGCATTCTTAAATCTTCAGTGGCGTTATTCAAACTGTTCGCTAGTATCTTACATTGTTCAACACTGCATGCAAGTTTCGATTCTAAGTTTTCCTTTTGTCTTCGCCATTCCTCACTCAGTATATTTAAGTGTCGTTCTTCTTTCCTCTTGAGCTATAATTCAAGTCGTTATAAATTCAGTTCGTATATAAATCATGTTTCTCTCTTATTAAATTGAAAGTCTTTTTACTTTACCTCAGCTTTAAACATTTCCTTTTCACGTTCTTTCCATGTTTCGAGTTCATCTACTATTTTATACGCCAAGCTATCATCTAATATCGGAGGATCTAAGTTTTTACCTTGAATAAAAATGTGTATACTACATTATAATTATATTGTCGTCTCTCTCTTTTTTTTGCTGTCAAAAATATAATAATATATATTATACCAGTAGTTTCTTTTTTAAGTAAAAGATGTGGTCCACGATTCTCCAGTTTGAACATAACATCTATATCACCAATTTTATTTTGATCTGCATCGTGCAAAGATAATTTATATTGACACAAAGGCTGAAAAAAATTATTATATTAATTTTTATGTCCTAAGATCGTCACTGTCACTATAAATTTAATGTTACCTTATCTTGATTAAATAATGGTTTCAAATCCAACTTTAATAGCGACAATAGTTTAGCGCCTTCATTTGTATCATACATGCTAATCTTTGGTGGAAAAGACTCCAGTAACTGTTTAATTTCGTCTGGCATGGATATAAAATGAAACTGACATCCAATATTTTGTAATTTAGTTTTTTCGCCTGATAAAACTGACATTGTTGCATACGCTGTTGACGTCATCTTAGCTTTAGGATGTTGAAATCTATATAAAAATTACATTTTTGTAAAATTTTGTCTTTTTTATGTTTTATAATTCGTGAGAAATAAGTTAATTTAACCATACAAACCGAAATTCAATTCGTTTTCCAGATAATTTTGGGGATACAAATGTTATCGTCATAAGTGAAATATATAGACAATAACAATGATAAGATCCTATACATTTAGTGTTAATGCAATTGCAGACTGTAGTATCACTCGAGCATAAACACGTCATTTTATCCATTTGACTTTTTATGCGTTGACAATCAGTGAATTGCTCATTTGCATATTTGTATTCCGTTGCACATTTCGTTTCGTCGGAAGTGCCAATTGAGTCAAATTTTTTAAAGTCACCACTAGAATTTTTGTAAGACTCAACTTCTGGACATTTCTGAAATTCAATAACATTATTACTCTTACTATTATATATAATTACCATTTGATTTAATATTATTAATATTTTTTTCGTTATAATATCAAATACTATTATGCTATTATTAAATTAAATATATTTGTATCAGGATTGCATAGAACATCTGTTTTAGTTTTAATGTATTGCAGTTTAAGTTGTATACATGAGATGCACAATGCTATCCTTGTTCAGATGCTCAGATAATAACAGATGCAAATTTTATATACATGTGACTTTGATACTTAGCAAGAATAATTTACAACAAGTGTTCAGGAGCCCCAATTGAATTAATTACTCATCAAGATGTAGATAAGGTACTATTTTATCACTTTGTGCAATAATATCTTTTATTATTACATTTCTTACCTGTAAGACAATTATAGAGAGATATTTGTGGTAATATGTAATACAATGACATAAATATTATATTTTATTATATAGATATATTTTAGATATATTTTTATAAAATATGAAAATATATATAATATACCTCTAATACTGTATTTGAACTTGTATTTTTGCAATCTTCAATTCTCAATATCAGAAGTAATTCAGGTTTATGTGTTTTAAGATCATTTCTTAATCCTATCAATTTATGCCAACTTGCTTTTTGATTTAGATTTCCATATTTATATACTAAGTGTGCAGAACGTATATTTAACAGAACATGTCCAATTTTTTCTTTACTCTCATTTTCTTTAAAAGCATAACATTCCAACTTCAATATTGTTTGTCCTGATCGCATTCTATAAATTAGATATGGAATAAAATATATATATTTTTTATTTTTTCTCTCTCTCACAATATTATAAAGACAATATAGATAATAATACAATATAGATAATATAGATAGAATAGCAATACCTACTTTCTTAATAGATTTTTATTGGTTTCCCATACCAGATCAGTATCATATTGTGGATTCGAATTTGACTCAACTTTGTCAGTTTCTAAGGAATGCCCATTTAAAGTTCCAACTAACATTGTTGGTTGTAAAACTTGTTCAAAATATCTTCCTATAATATATACATGTATAAAAAATATCATTTGATAGGAATAACTTTTTCTAATCCATAAATACATTCTCTCTTTTCTTAGATTTATATTTTTAGGTTATTATTTCAATTCTCTTTATTATCAATCATATTTTATATATTATTTCAATTCTCTTTATTATCAATCATATTTCATAACTGTGTTGACACAATTTATAAACATTATCTTTAGAATGTACAAATTGACACAAATTTAAGGTACATCACAGGTTAATCTCAACATAATTAAGAAATAAAAAGTTTATTGAAAGTAACAAATGTTAAGATTTAAAAAATTATAAATTTAAATGACATCAATGTACAAATTAACTATTTAATTTTAGAAGCAAATTTTGTCGTTACTTTACTTCCCAAAATAAACAATTTAAATAAATATATGTAATACTTTACCTTCTTTTATGCTTAGAATAATTTGAGCGTCCGATTCTACTACTACGTCCATTATTTTGTTGTATGTTTCATAAAATATTATATATAAAATAATAAATCTCGCAAATATTGCTAAAAATATTTATGCACTCTTGTCGTGATTCAAAATTGTTGCCATAGCAACGAATTCTTGTAAACACAGCTCACCCACGCATACACACTAATTAGCTTTGAGTCACTACTTGGTACAGTGGCGGCTCGTAACGGAGATTTTGGAACTAATTTGTTGACACACGCAGCATAACGGATCTAATAATTTCTTAGGCCGGTATTTATAGGGTCGACTGTTCCAACTTCTTGATAAGCTATCTTACCAAAACATTTTAAATCTTGAAGTTTCTACTTTTCAGATGTATTAAATTCCAATTCTTAATATTGTTTATTGCTTATATATCGAGTAAAATAAGAAATGCCTACTTGTCAGTTTCCAACTTCATCCTTCAATAAAAATTTTTGATACTTTATTGTATTTAAAGTAATAAGGTTGATAATTTATTACAGGCAGAGACAGGGAGAGATGGATAGAGATGGGAAGAGACGGGGAGAGACAGGGAGAGAAGGGAGAGGCAGGAAGAGACAGAAAGAGACAGGAAGAGGCAGGGAGAGACAGGGAGTGTCAAGGAGAGATAGGGAGACAGAGAGAGAAGAGGATAAAAAATAAGAGAAAATCGTTCTAACGAGGGAATTTCAAACTTTTTATTCACTTATTAATTAGTTTGCAAACGTTAGGGCCATCACACACAAAATTACATAGACTCATATGCATAGCATAAGATCATATGGACCAATGAACATTGAATATTAAGTCGCCATATTGATGATTGATACTTAATATTCGATGCTCATTGGTCCATACTATCTTATGCTATGCATATGCGCTATGTAATTTTGATGGCCTTTAGGCCAGGATTAAACCGTTCGCATTATTTCATTTATGTTTTATGTATCGATTCATCGAATTTCTCGATACATGGGTCGAACATCGCCCATTCCCACTTTGGAGTACGATCGCATGCACTTTACGCTCAGAGCCACCTATGAAGAGAGAGAGAGAGAGAGAGAGATGATCGCGTGTACTTGCTCTTTCTGGCTGGCCTGGCAGAGATCACAGAAATGGCAAACACACAGTAAGATAAGTTGGGCACAATTGGACGATGCTGCTGACTCGTCAGCACGAAGAATAACAGGACAGCCGAAGCCGATTAGTCTAACGTCAATAGGCAGGTGACAGGCCAGGAGGAATACCAAATACTTTTCGAGCGCTACAGGCACAGACATTTGTAAGAGGTTATAAGGCATCGTTGTTGGTACTCAAACACTATGAGGACTTTCTCCAATGAGGCGAATGTGAGCGTCGCTTGTGTACATGAATGTCAACGTATGCAGCTGTTCCGTCTCGATCTGATCGTTGCTGAGACAGCGGTCTGCTCGCACGTCAATATCATTAATACATCAATCGTCCCGCGAGTTCGACTGGCGTGCCGTTCAATGGATTGTTGTCGAGAAATCGAGAATGCGTGGAGGTTTTAACAATTGTGTGTACATAGTGAAGCGCGCTGTAATGAGTACACACGTATACGTCGCTCGACGGTTACGCGTGGCTGCTCCTGATCGCCGTTGATTTTCGACTTAACATCGCCTATGACAACGTCTCGACTCTCGATCAAGATATCAGGACGTATATCACATATGGATTTTACTTCTTCAATTATTGTCGTACAGAGTACAAAGTCGAGAAATTAGCGGTGAAGTATAGAATGATCGAATTTAGCGCGAAGTATTTACATAGAAGAAATTTATAATTTTTGTATATATCGTATCCATGTGTAAGCTGTGAGGTGCAACATATATGTAACGGTAAGTAGTACTTGTTATAAATTTGTGGTTTTGTATCTATGATATTATGATAATTTAATTTTAGGAAACTGAGGGGAGATCCTTATATAGCCCATGGTAACATGACATAATTATTAGTATATCATCAGTACAGGTGTGATACAGCTGAAGAGAATAATGTTATACAATGGCAAATGACATATGTGTCATACGTATGCATATGTGCTGATGACTACATTAGTGAGTTAAGTAGAAGAGAACAATGTCAGTTCCTTCTTGCTCCACAAGTAAAGAGTGGGATAACACAAACCTTAGGGAGGAAGTGACATATGCAAGATGGGAACGTTTCAACAATTGGGTGCATTGTATATGCATTGTTACTTTTGATCTCGAATTAGGCCAAGCTATAGAGGTACAAGTTTACTTATTATCTCACTTTATATAATAATTATGTCCTTAGAAAGATAATTTAATTTATAACTTCTCTGTTATTTACTGAGAAAAAATGTATATATTTTTTTGTACTAATTTGTACTAATTTTTTGTACTAATTTGATTTTCTCTACTATTTTTGTTCTATAGGCAATTTATCCAACTCATATCAAGCTATCAGAGCAGGAAAGATCCAATGTTTGTTATTTAGCTTTTCCTGACTCCAATTCTGGTTGCATGGGAGACACTCAGTATCATGTGAGAATAAGGCAAAGTAGTAAAGTAGTGCAAGAGACCAGTGCTCTCAAAGAATATGACAGGAAGTCGCCCTCTTTTCTGCAAACTGATAGAGATTATTACTGGGGATACGTGTATTTTCGACAAGTGAAGGATAAGTCTTTGCCAAGAGGATATTTTCAAAAGGTTCATACATCGTCTATGCTACATAAACCGAGTTGTCTTTTATTTAATTTTAAACGGGTAATTTAATGACATTCTTTTTTCAGAGTGTTGTTATAATTACGAAACTGCCATTTGTTAATTTGTTTGGCGAATTGTGCGCTTTAGTCGCGCCCGAATTCTTCGAAACTGGAACTGCTCTCATGGAAGCCGTGGTGCGCGAAATCGATCAGTGGCCTCCGCCAATTCCAGGGCAGATAGTTCATTTACCTCTTATTGGTGTATTATTTCAGGTGAGATATTGCGAAAAATAACGAAACCGTTATATCGCATCAGTCGAAGTGTTCAGTTAATTTTCGAGTCAAGTTTAACTTTATTGCTTTACACGAAAACTGATCAGTCGTCGGTTAAATAGTAGGTGACAGGTTTATTGATTAAGAAATCGACCCGAACTCTTCGACTGACTCGATATTTAAGTCGATTCAAACGTTCCTTTACATTTAGATACGAAACCATTTCAGACGTATATCCCGAATCAAAATTACAAAGCCACTATCCCATCGATCGCTGCCATGGAACATGCACCGAATATGCACGCGACGCGAAGACTGATGTTGACGTCAGCCTACGAGGGAGATATGTTCCGTAGTTTAGCCAGTGTTGTTAGTTACGTACATTTATTATGGGAGCTGGTACTTCTTAGCGAGCCGATTGTCGTGATGGCGGGCTCGCCCACTACATGTTCCGAGATGGTCCAAGCACTTATAGCGTAAGCAGCGATGCATTCGCGAGTACGTTCCGCGCTCGCGTACCCACGATGTGATAACCGAAGGAAACACGTTTCAGCATGATCGCACCGTTGAAATACTGCTCCGATCACCGCCCGTACTTTACTATACACGATTCGGAATTCAAGGAGTACACCACGGACTCTCCTGCGCCGCCCGCCGTGATTCTAGGTGTGACCAATCCGTTCTTCGCCAAAACGTTGCAACATTGGCCGCATATCATCCGCATAAGCAACGGCAGCAACAGCGGTAAGTTCTATGACGTTCGCTAACATGTGGTGTATTCAGGACATCGCGTTCTCTCGGCAGATCAGAAATATAAAATCAAGAAGTCCGAGAATCTCAAGGTGCTGGACTCGAAACCTGGCGTCTACACTCATTACAAGCCGTTCCTGCAGAAAGATAAGACTATCCTGAAGAAGCTGTTCAGGGGCGTGCAGACGAAACGACCGGGCGAGGTGCAAACTGCGCTCTTGAAACGTCACCTGATCGAGCTAACGGAGAGCTTCATGATCCCGCTCGAGAGGTACATTGCGACTCTCATGCCGTTGCAAAAGAACATATCGCCTTTTAAGGTGAGTCAAGTCCTGATAACTAATGATTATAAGAGTCGCACGTGTGCTGTACAATTCAATGCTTTCTTCGCAGGCAACTCCTACACCGCAAATGTTCAATCCAGACGACTTCCTAGCTAGCTTAAGTAGCTCCGGTCCCCAATTGACTACAGGTATTAAGGGAGACTGGGTAGGATTGTATAAACGGTTCTTTCGATCGCCCAACTTCTCCGGATGGTTCCATGCCAGGTACACGGAGTTGAGTCAGCAATTGCAGGTCAAACAATTGGAGAAGCTATCGCAGGCGGTACGCGATTATTAAATTCACTAATCTTTATACACTCTCTGAATGCCCACGTCATAGATAACCAATAATGACGTAATAATGTACATTGAATAGGATCTGAAAACATGGGTTCAAGGGAAGCAAGAAGTGGAGGTAGTCGATATGATTTTGAGAATCCGGCAGAAACTGGAGAGAAGTTGCATCGATGACGTACCAATCGATAACTCTGTAAAGGAGAGGCTGAAGGAGAGAATAGACGACATTACGCATGTATTGCCGGACGATCTGAAGGTTATTCTGAGACAAGAGTCTTGACAGTACGATTATATTATTAATATTAAAACTCGCTAACGTTATAATTAATTCTACATAAAATGGGCTCATTGAATTCAAGTCGACTCTCGGAAACGTGTAGCGCTAAGATAATCATTTTAACGCTCCTTCCCTCGCTATTTATTACGAAACGAACAATAAGGAAGTGTCCGTTGTGTATGCGAGCGATATAGTTTGAGAATTAGAGTAAGTGGTAAAACTACATATTTCGATTAAGAGGGGAAAAAAAGAAAGAAGATAATACTCGGAAAAAACCCGCTGTATACGTAATACATAGAAGTTAAGGCCGCGCGAACATTATCCTGGATGCTTGAACGTCTCGATGCTTTTTATACTCGGCATGTAGTATTTTGTAAATTGATGTCTTGCACGTATTTTGTCGTGTTGCCTTAGACTGACTTATACGTATTTAACGATTGTATATTATATCGTATTTCATTTCTATCATGATGTTGTACATGCCAAATCCATCAACAGCTTCCTTTGCTACTTGACCAAGCATTCCAGTGGATAATTTTATATATACAGTAATTTATTATTATTGTTATTATTATTATCATATAACGAATACTCTTTATTTGAGATAGTGAGCAATACCAATGATATAATCTCACGAACATAAAATTCAACTCAAGGGAATGCGAGGAATCGGAATATAAACTGATGTATATACATTTTTTCGAGATCTGTAAATATTGGTACAAATGATGTGTAATAAAAATTTATTTTAATAATAACGCCAGTGTTATGTTACGCTTATATTCATATCTCTAAGCGCGCAAGATAAAAATGAAATATAAGATGTCTAAGGAAAATGTTAATACTTATACGGAGAAAAGGTTACTTTCATATAAGCGCTATTTTTTTAAGCATTCTGTATTTCTGGGACAAATGAATTTATGTTTCGCTGAAGCGGCTATCGCGTGTGTGTATTTTTCTCTTCTACTCTATGATTGTATATTTTCATTGGAAAGGAAGTAACGCACACACGGGTGAAGAGACATTAATACGTAGCAGAGAATACCTCTCTTCGCATTTTATTTCTTACGATTTTTATTATTACATTCTCCCAATTACATTAATAATTTCCTCATAGTTTTGTCTTAATACTTGCGTCATTATATTCTCATTAATATCCATAATATATTATCATACTTTCAATGGAGTCAACAACATATACATATATATTTATATAATTTGTCCATATGTATACGTGTATACATATATATGTATATATATATATATATAGAGATATCGGGTGTATGTTCATTTTTTTCTTTATGAGTGAATGCACAGTACCGTAGGATAGCTTTATTACACAGTTAATTCACAGAGTTCATTTTGTTATTCTGCCGAAGTACACCTTGATTTCTGTTTTCCTGGCCATCGCGTTTATCTCCGTTGCTTTCTCGGTAAAGTGAAACGACGTGTGTTTTCGTAGCGTGAAAATCTAGCGCAATATTTTACTTCTCCTTCTCTCTAATCTCATCCCGTGGCCAGAGAGAAGGCGCATCTCTCTTCCGTTTTCTCGACACGCGCCTGAAAAGTTTTTGGAGGGGGAAGGGAGGAATTTCTTTCGCGATTTATTATTTTATACACAGTACCGAATGATATCTTTTTCTATCTGTTGTCCTTTTCTTTTTTTCCTGTCGGGGAAATGACGGAGAGGTTTCAGCCGCGCATATAATAATAATAATAATAATAATGAGGAGCGGACAAATACGATTATCGCCTGTTTGCATTACTTCGACAGACTTAGGCCTGGGTGTGAGTTGCGCCTCCTTAATTAAAATCTTACAAGACTTTGCCTATCGACTAACGCGAATGGAAACTTTACAACGAGCTTTTCGGAGACGAGAAAGGATGAACGCGGATGAAGCAATGTTTCTGAGAATCCACGCGCACGGATAGTGACGATCGGGCGCGAGCGGATTATCTCGGGAAATGTGTGAAAAGAGTATCGATAATATTTTGGTTGCACGTCGCGATTTTTTGGGGAGAGAGGGGAAACGGTTTTATATAACCGCATAGCGGCGATGCTTCCTTCCCGTTTCCTTTTTATTTTTCGTTTCTTATATTCTTCGGGTGCGGCTACTCGAAAAGAGGAGTAGAAAAGTCGCGGTGTATGTGTGTGTGTAAATTGACCGAAAAATCCGAACTCGGCGTAGCGCACACATAAAACACGAATGTCTCGATGGGAAACGTAACGACTGCTCGCTCTCGCAACATTTTTGTTCCCAGGCCGGGATTTAAGGTGGGTGAATTTATCTCCGTCGGCTTCGCGGGAATATGTAAGACCGGAGTCTTCGTGAAAGCGAGATTTATCCTCGTCTCACGATCAGCGATCGCTGATCCTGCCTTGCCGATATTTCCCGCGATCATGAAGATCCTTACTTTCAACACGCGTCTAGCAAGTATAACTGTCTGATTTCGCTTAACGCTCAACGTCGTTTTCGCACACTACTGAAGCCAACGAGATAGCTGAACGTCTCTCTCGCTAAATGCTAAACAAAAATACGATAAAAATATAAGATTATTCTGCGCGGTAAAATATTTTGCCAAGTCATTACGGAGAAGATCAGATGTAACGATAACGAAGCAAAGAACGAGAAGACTAATCAGATACATGTATGCATATATATATATAGGTTTACATTCCGTGTACATCTCGATTACTTTAGAAGTTCCACCGTAAATCCCCCCAGCTCTACCTATTCTCATCGCTCGCTTCGGATAACCACGCGAATATCGATCCCCACACTTATCTATCGCGGCCGTTCGCTTCGATCCGATGTTTGTTCACCTTTCCACGCGTGTTTTTTCGTTCTGTCACATTTGTGCTGTCAGCATTATGATGATGAATCATGAGTCTGATGCAACAAGCCCATACTTCAAACTTCATCATCGCCGCGCATCATCGCACACGCGAAATTCTGCAATATACCGCCGTACTCAATGGAGTTATTTTCGAACCGCTGCAGTCTCGCGTAGCGCGATATTTTACTGTTGCAAAAATTTCTCTCTTCGTCCGCGAGTCGGCTGGTTTCATTTCCTACTTCTTCCCGTGGCAGAGGACGATTGGACGGTATTTGTTATACAGAGAATATAATCGCGTTAACAAAATGTTGCGCCGCGCGATTCTGTGGGGTTTGTGTACGTGTGTGTACGCGCGCGTGCATATGTATGCATGTAATTAACAATTCGACAACGATTGCCGTCGAATGTTTTGCGGCTATATAAATAATGTGATATAGCGTATTATATCAGAGGGGGTTTCCTTCCTTTTTTATCTCAACGCAATGATTTATTACGATATTTCGTCCGTACAGACAATGCGAACATGTCACATTCTCACAGCGTAATTCACTTGACACAATACAAACAACGCGTCAACAGAACACTCCCGCGATCGACAAGAAGTCAACAAACATAAAGACACATCTTCCTCTCAACATCAACATCATCATCGTCATCGCCGACGATACTTGTCACGTCATTTATCTACAAGTCTCGGAAACATACATGCTAAAACGATATATCGTTGATGCCTAAAATCTTCTCCACCTTTGTCGAATCGTGTATCGGATGTCAAATCGTGACGAACGCGTCAAATCGAAAGTCTTAAAGCCGTCCAGCCGAATCGGTTTTCTCGTCTCGTTGTCTCTTGGATATGACCCTCGGTAAATTATAACAAATCGATGATAATTGCAGAACAATCAATGAGGAGAAGCGTCATGTGGCGGTAATAAGCTGCTGGTTTGAAAGAGAGAGAGAGAGAGAGAGAGAGAGAGAGAGAGAGAGAACGAAAGAGAGGAAGAAAGAAAAAGATCGGTGATACATTTGTCCTCGTTTCCTGACGTCAAAGTCAGCGAGAGCTGCGCTCATCTTCTTGATTGTGTTCGAAAACTGCAATAATGGGTTCAATAGTCGATTACTGGGGAAATGTGCTCACTGCGAAGACTATAAACATCGTCGATCCGCGCACGAGAAACGGCGCCTTTCGACGCACGGCAGTGTAATTTGTCTCAAGGAACCGGCGATCCCTCGACCATGACGAAGAGCGAGCGATCTAGCGCGCGTGTGGTGCGTCCTTCGTGTTCACCGATACCGCCGTCATCAACCGATCGAACTAATTAATTTAATATCACACAATTTTGAAGATATTTATATCATTACCATCAACATTATAATATTCTTGGACGAGGCCGTCCAATAATTGACGTAAGTGTGTGGTGTTAATTAATTTATATATCCATCCGCGTGTACGTGTATGCACATGTATATCCATCGCTCACTTCTGGGATACTTTGGAACGACCAGCGACGTCATTCCGTCAATTTGGAGATGAAAGTATGAGTTACAATCGTTACAGTCGAATAACACACACCTCTTCGTTCCACCTCCAAACTGCGGAAAGGCACTCTCTTCGTCGTCTTCGTCGCGCTTGAGGATCGCGCAGAACGTGCTGCTGCTTCGGGAAAATTTCGAGAAAACCAGAGAAACCACGGGGAGATCGATCCGACAATCTTTCACGCTCCCACATCAGCCCTTACAATTGCGATCTCTGACGACGTCGACGTCGTCATGAAATTTTCGTACGCGTCGGGAGCGCTTGATGCGGTCTCCTCGCGAATTCGTATCCTCACGTCCGACTCTTTCGTTTGTCTCTCGATAACGTTCTCCTCCTGCGAGAACGAGCCGATCCTCAAAGAGCTTCGCGTCGTCTTTAGCCACATCTCTCTCTCCCTCGGGAGATCAGCGATGGATCAGACAGGAATCCTCTTTTGAGCGGGTTTCTCCGTTCAAACCATATCGCCAACCTGCCTCACGAAAGGGCGCGCTCTCGCGGATGTCGCTTCATCGAGACACACGCGCACAATCGCGAGACGGTTAACGAAATGAAAAGCGATCGAAGCGCGATTTCACAGTCAGTCGATGCGAAGAAGACGTGACACTTCTCAGACTTCGAGCTGCTTCGAGAGAGAGAGAGAGAAGCCTCTCGTGATCTTCGACGACTCGTCGATTTGCGACACGAACGCGAGGTCAGCCAGCAAGAGTTCGACGGTTTATCTGCGAACTCTTGGCGCATGATATACGGCGAGAAGATGGAGCCGAGCGAACTCTATGAAGGAATTCACCGCTTCCACTAAGCCCCGATTAAGTGGGGAATGTGTTCTTCTCGAGATCCATCGCGAGGATTTCCCGAGGATATCGTTAATTCGCCTCGCGATCGTTAATTTACTTATTATCTCGTTTTGTCGTATAAAAAGAAACGTGTCAAAGCTATGTGTACGAAATAGAGCTTTCTTTAAAGCGCGCACCGCGCGGAGGAACGTAGCCTCGAATTCACCGTCACGAATCTCGATCTCCCCTGCACGGAGAAACGATCAGTCGGACGACGATGCGATTCTCATCGAGCATCGCTTCTCCCGGCTTCTTTCTCTCTTTCTCTCTTTCTTTCTTCACATCATCATGGCGAGAGAAAGGGAGAGAGAAAGACAGATAGATAGACAAAGAGAGTAACACACGTGTACAAAACAACAGGGGACTTGTAAGGCCCAACTGTGCGCTCGCGTAAACGAGAGTTTTCGCATCGCCGAATCGTCTCGCGCGCCCGCAGGATCTCAACTGAAGCGACGAGATCCCTTATCCGGTCACGAAGAGGATCTCCTCGGCTCACTTGAGGTCCTCGTCGTCCTCGTTGGCAAGCAGCTCGTCGATCTGCTTCTCCCAATCGTTATCACTGGCCGTGACGTCCCTCGTGGACGCGATGCTCCTCTCCTGACCGCTGCTACCGCCACCGCTGCCGGTTACAACCTCGTAATCCTTTAGCTCGGCCTCCAATTCACGTTCCCAATCTTCTTCTGCGGAGAGGCACAAGCAGCGTTGTAGCTATTTTGCAGAGAGGGCCACACACTGGTCTTGTATGTCTGTTTGTGTTGCTGTTTGTGTTTCCGCGGTGTGAGTACGAGTAGTTTCTCGTACACGGGAATAACGAGTGTGTTCATATGTATGTGTGTGTATGTGTGTGTGCGCGCGCGCGCGTAGTGTGTAAAATTGTCTCTGAGTGTGTAAGAGTGTAGGATCGTGAGAGAGGCAAAACTCAAATTGCAGGAACGGAAAAATCAGAGAAGAGAGAGATAGGAGAGAGAAAGATTAAGAGAACGCAAAACGGAAGCGACAGGGACGTTCCCTTTGCCTCGAAAGCGCTCGCTTTGAATCCGCTTCGTTAAACCGCGTTTGTTGGGCAAGGATATGTTAGTTGGCCTGAGAGAACGAGAGATTATGCGATTATACTATCGAGAGGGACGAGACGTGATCGCGCGCTTTTCCCTTTCATACCTTCCTCCGTGCTTACTTCACGAATCACGACGCCGACGACGACGACGTTACACTTATCACACGCGATCGCCGATTACACAGCTCCCTGAAAATTACAGCGTCACGGCGACGGAAGGAGTAGCTAGCGGCTAATAGCTTCTCGCTTAACATACTTTGTTACAAAAGTGACTGTCTCGCGATTACAAAAGCAATTATTCGGGATCTAATCGCGACTTAAACGCTCAGAAATGCAATTATCGGACCGGTACGACCATGAGAGTAATACTCGTCGCGCGCTAAACCAGCGGTGCCCAAAGTGTCGTGGTATTACACGAAAGGGTTGTGTGTATACGGTGAAATAATCGATACTTTACACATGGTACATCCGTACACATGGATAAAAAGGGGATTGAATAAAAGAGCAAGTAATTATTTCGAAAGCTTTAACAAGAATTTGAATTGGATATTTTTTTGCAATGTATCGTTTGCTCAATAAAATCCCATATGAGATTTTTATTGCGGTCGCATCGCGCGAAATCGAATACATACATTACATACACGCACGCACGCACGTGCATACACGCACTCATACACACACACACACATACACACCACACATACGCCAAACCATTTGGACACCGCCATACTAAATCGTTTATCGTTCAAGCGCGAAATTATCTAACGCTATCATACGTGCACGCGTTTCACGTGCGAGAAGATAAGTTTACAGCGGGCCTCCGTCGAATATGGCCCCTAAAAACACTAAATGCTTAAATAATACTTTTACGGTGCGTTCCCCATCTTTGTCCCCGTCCCTAACGCTCCAAAACGATTAGAACGAGTTCGCGGGTTCCCTGGACGCGGTTTCAACGCCACTTCGATGACGCGTCTGCGACGCTCGTCGGCGCCTCCCTTCGCACACGAAAGGGACGAGATACTGACAAAAAAAAAAGTACTGTGTCCACGTTTGTTGAACGCGTCCTTTACGCGCGCCCTGCGTCGAGTCGAGAGCGATATTCGATGTTCCCCGACGCGGAAAAGTCGAAGTTCACGGCACCGGGTGGCGAAGTGCCCACGCACCGGGAGAACCAAAGGCCATAATTCAGTTGCCACGTTTTATCGGGATGCCTCGGCACCGCGCGAGCGGATAATCCGATATTTTCATGCACACTCGCGCGAGAATACGTATATATACGTATGTACACGTATCCTCGATAAAACTATCGTATAAAATCGAACGAGAGAGAGAGAGAGAAAAAGGAGAAGAGAAACAACAAGTGCAAACATAATGCACGAGACCACGAGACGCTGAGAGAGAGAATTAGTTTCACCTATTTTATTCACCTCACGATAATCTAAAACACCGCGTCGGCGAGTCTTTTATTTTTATCCTCTACCCCCCTCTTGATTCTTTTCCCGCGATACAAATATAAAGATGAAAAAGTCGCAGACGCGGCGCAGAGGATCGTGAGTTAGGCAATATGTAAGGAACGCACTCGAGAGGATCCGATCGTTTGTCTCGCTACTTGACGGAGTGAAACGCAAGTGAAACTTCTCGAGCGAAAAATCAAATCGTGCCGCGCTGCGAATGTATTAATTAAATGCCGTCGCGTGAACGTGAAAAACGGAACGTACGCCACACGAAATTTGCGCGTAAATGTTCTCATGGAATCGCAACGATTACCGCAGCGATCCGTTAACAATCGACGGTAAATACTTCGTCGACGTTTCCTCCCCTGATAGCTCTCTCTCTCCCTCTCTCTTTCTCTCTCTTTGAACGAGAATGAAACTCTGTTTCGACTATTCACCATACGTGTGCGACTTCGTGTTCCGCGTTTGCATTTTCCTGGTTGCAGTTGCGGAAATATACATATGTGCGTCCGTCCGTTTATCCGTCCACCACTCGATCGTTTTTGCTCTGCGGAAGCGTAAGAACTTGTCCACAATACGCTAAGTAAGCTTGGCGTAAGTTTAAGAAAGAGATAAAAGTAATTTATTTATAAGTTAAATTTTCCCTTATGTCTATACTGTAACTTCCTTGCGCCGGAAGTATCTCTCTCTTACTTAAGAGGAATACCTTCAATGTAAGGCAGTTAGAGAATAGGCGTACGCTGAGAGAAAAATGTTTGGTATTTGTAACTATAATTACACAGAGAAATAATCACTATAAATCATGATCAAGAGATGATTATTCCTTTAATTAAATTCTACTATAATGTTAGTGATTATTAGCTTACATGTACGTTACAATCATGTTACCACAAAAAAGATTGGAATAAAAAATAATTTGAGGCTGAAAGTAATTTTAATTAGAGGAACCATTTCTTTTCTCTTTCTCAGCAAAATAAATTATTTTTATTTCTCATTTCAACCAAGTTTTCCTTACATATTGTAGACGAATCTTAAAAGCAGGTTCCCAGTATACGGGCGTAAATCCTCAGTTGACGCATACAAATCGCCCGTTTACCGTTTGTCTGATCGACGACCGTCCGCGTAGAAAACTCGAGTAATTAATTTATTCCCTCATCCTTCCTGGTGAACGGACGTGTAAACGAGATTGCACCTCGGCTAGCCGCTTCGTATCGGAAGAAAATCACTAGCTATATCCACGAGAGAGAGAGAAAGAGAGAGAGAAAGAGTGTCGGGCGCGAGCAGAGTTACAGCTCGTTCCCGTATTAAATACACGTATTGTCATTCAACGAATTTATAGCGGCGCGCGAAAATCCAATCGCCTTCTCCTCCTCCTCCGGATAACCCGCACTCGCGAGATCGTCTTGTACGAATTATCAGGAACCTCCGTCTCCTCTAGTGGCTGTATACCGCGAATTAGACCGGAAATGAGACCCGAAGTAAACGAATTTACAAAGGACCTCGGCTATATCCACCGAGAAAGGATTTGTCTTCCTCGGATTCTCGACTGTTCCTCTTTCTTGTCGAGAGAGAAAGGAAAAGAGAGAGAGAGAGATAGAGAGAGAGAGAGATAGAGAGAGAGAGAGAGAGAAAGAGAGAGAGAGAATAAACAGATTTTCTCCGGGTCCCCTGTAGAAGCCTAATTATTTGTACAAAAGCGACGTCCACGAGAGACGGAGCTCCGGAGGTGGAAGATCGCGGATCCGTGTAGCGCGCGCGCTACTGTTTATATTTTATTTAGTAATATAGTGTATTATATTTATACATATATTTCTCTTTTTTTTCTCTTAGGTCTCCATTTAATTAATCGCTTACGAAGGTACACTTATGATTAAGTGCGATTTGCGCAACGTAATCTCGCGTTTTCCACCGGCGACTGCGTTATCTCCCGACCTGTCTGTTTTTGTCTTTTCTTTCCTTTTCTTTTAAAGAGAGCGTGTTCTTCGATTTGTTGCTGCGTTAATGACACGTTTATTTATAAAGAGACACGGAGAGAAAGAGAGAGAAAGGGAGAGAGAGTAAGAGAAAATCGAGAAAAGAGAGAGAGAAAGGCAAGAATAATTGGAAGTAATACAGAGACAACAGCAAGAGACTGTCAGACATGCAAACATGAGTGGCCGAGTATTCCTTTCTGTTCCGCTCCGCATGGTTATTTCCTTTGTTCTTTCTTTCTCGTTCCTCGTTCTCTCGCACATCCTCCCTTTTATTGCTATCATATCTACGTTATTTGGTATGTCGCGGGCGCGTAACGTTTCGGCGTGACGATACTCTGGATTTTTCCCCGTATCTCGTTTCCTTCCTGTCGCGTCACATCTTCGAATTTCGCGATTCGGCGAGCTCGACGTGTCCCGGACACGGCAGGGCTGGGCAAAATCTCAAATACACTTGCCCGACCGACTTGCGTCAGCCGAAGAAACATTATTTCATGCTTGAGGTATTTGGGATCAACATTTCTCGGAGTATCCCGCGCTCGATACATTTGGCGATTTGCCGAGCCCTTTTCTTTTCCGTTTTTCTCGTTTCGTTTTCTTTTTATCCATCCACCCACGCCGATTTTCTTACCGCCGTTTTCACGATGAATTATTGTGAATTCGCGTCGATTTCCCTCCCAGCTTATCACCGAGATCCGAGCCGATGGCGACAACCGACCAGCGACGACATCGATGACAGTTATAATAACGACGCTGTTCACCGGCGCAATCAAACGGCGCTGCTCCTCTCGCTCTCTGCGCATCCACCCCCTCGGCTTGTTAAATCATTCAGATGACCCGCCCGCACCCCTTTCCCCTGCTTCATCGACATGCGTTGATTATAGGCTTGTCTCATCGCACGCTGACCTGTTAACCGTATCCTCGTATCCGCGTCACGTGTGGATACCCGAATTATAAAGGAATCACAACGGAAATACTGCGTTTTTCCGAGGAACGAATAATAAATATCCTTGCTGAATATGACAGCTGCTCGTTAGACAGAGAAAAAAGAAGCACGCACCCTTCATCGGAATGTAAAAATGCCCTTGACTCTCGTGCGAGATAGAGCTCGTGGTATGTCAATGAGACGAGTTTGAACTAAAAATGATATCCCCGAGACCTCTCCACACACATGCAAGTCACTTAACTATATAAAAAAAATTGAAACTTAATTTATGCCGAGATTTGTCTCTATTAGACTAATTAGACTCGTTTTCACGACCGTCTCGGCTCTCTCCGCCGTTTAATTGCGACGATCGCGATGTCCTTGGAGCAGCCTTGGGCCACAGACTGTCTATGCTTAGCGTTAGCTCAGGGGTTAGTTAGCTCCAGGATCAGAGTGCGAGGAGGCCACGACGTTCCACGTTTTAGCACCTGACACGGTGTTTAGTCGAACCGATCTGTTGCGACCGGTACGGGATCGCGCGTCGACTGCCGGCCGATCGGGAACGAACAGCCGCGAAGGAAGAAAACGCCGTTCGTGCCATAGGCGGCTCCGCGATCAAACGTGACGGAAACGAAGATTTAAAAAACGAAAAGAAGAATAAAATGGGGAAACGGGAAGGTGAGGGGGAGAGGGAGAAAGAAAGACGAGAGAGGAGGAGGATGAGGAGAACCGAAATCGTCAGTTTTCGAGAGCGGGAAGCATGTATATCTCTGAGGGGGTGTGCTTTGGATAATGGCATTTGGGGGGCACTCTCCTCTTCTTTTAGGCTGTTGACAAAATAGAATGAAAAGCGGTCGTTTAGTTAGAGCGCCATGTAAAGAGAGAAAGAGAGAAACATAGATAGATTGAGTAAGAGAGAGAGAGAGATAGAGAGAGAGAGAGAGAGAGAGAGCAGCGAAAAACGCAACGTTCAACATCGAAACCAACTGCATGACAGGACACTATACAGGAAACTAGGGGCAGGAGGGAAGGGCGACCACGCGCGACGTGATCGTCCTGCAACATTCAGAATTCGGGAACAAGCGATCCCTGAGGTAAGCGCAGACAGGGAGACTCTTCTGGGGATGGGAATTTATTAACACAAAGACTACGTAACACACTATACAGCGTGGTCAAGGTATAACACCGAGAGATTAAGGTCAGGCTCTCACGATGACACTAATTTCATACTCACGAGGAGAGTACTCTTGGACCGTGTCGTGGCACAGATCGAGCTCTCGCATCGATCTTGGTGACCCGTTTCCGTTTCGTCGACGGAGATCAACGAATGGTACGCTCGTGTCGCCCGGCAAGAAATAGTTCCTGAGAACCGCTATTTCTCGACGACGAGGAATTCCACGGTTCTTCGGCGAGGCGGCTAACGAGACGCGATCCGAAGGGTCGCTCTGTTCTCATGTATCCGCTAATTCAGTTCACCCCGTCCAGCCGCGATCGTCGTTAACGAGAAAATGATCGGAAATTTGCCAGCTATTCACGACAGATGAAAGTACAATTTCGTTTCAGCGTGGATATTCTTTCTCTCTAAGTATTTTCTCAATCCAATCGTACGTCGTACCATCCGTTAATCGCCAGCGAATAAAAACGGCACTCTCATTAATGTAAGCGTTAAAATCTCGTTGGTGGTCGTAACTAATGGGGGATCGGGGATCGGAGGACGTATGAGGGCCGAGTGTATCCTAAAACTGCGTCGGTCTAACCGGACAACTCGATGCTCGAGCTTTCCCATTTACAAGGGAAATCTCGCGAGTGCCGTAAACCGCTTCGCACCTACGGCATGAAGTGCTCTCCCCGGTCCCGAAGCTACACTCGCGTGATCTCCGCGATATACGTTCTCGGTCTCACAACCACACCAGGACCCATTTCTCTCTGTCCAGGGGATAACACTGAGAAAAAAATGTTTGGTATTTGTAACTATAGTCACACAGGAAAATAACCACTATAAATTATGGTCAAAAGAACTATTCTTTTATCAAATTCTACTATATTGTTAGTGATGATAGCCTTACGTGTATGTTATCACTGCCATTTTCTTTCATGTTGAAACAACTCAGAAATATGGTTGTGGCCAAAAACAACTGTAATTTCAGTTAGATCAACCATTCTTTTTCTCTCAGTGAGGAGAAATATTCAGCGAGAATATGACGAGAATCTGCGGAGAGATCTCTGCGAATTGGACACTGTTGCGGGATCTCACACCATCTCGTGTGACGCGTGCGGGAGGTCGAAGGAAGGCAAGGAAAGTTAACGACGACCAACGATCTCATTACTGACCTTTCGGTGGCTGCATCCCCAGCTTTTTCATCCCTTCTCGGACCTCCTCGAGGTCTGTGTCCGAGACCCTCATGGTATCGGACACGAACTCGTGACCTGGCGAATCGGTCAGCGCGCTGTTACTGCTCGTCGTCGTGGCGCCGGTGGTGCCCTGGCCAGTGGTCATTTGAACTGTTTGCAAGACAACACTGACGGCTAAACTAGACGGGTAGGGGTGTCGTGTACGTCTATGTGTGTAGGTATGGCTGGGCTTGGATGTGTGTGTGTGTGGAGTAGAGGGTGGTGTGACAGATGGGGGTGGGTGGAGGTGGTGGCGTGTATATCTAATTTTAGCGCTAGATCTACTGGAACCTCATCTCGTACGCAGACAATCGGCAATCGTGAACGGAGGCGCGCCGAGACGCTCATTCGAAGTCGATCGCGCTCCAGTTCCAAGAGCGCGACATGTTGCATGACAACGACGGCCTTTGACCGATTTGAATCATCGCCCGTCACGGTCCGAATATCTGTCAGAGCAACGCGGAGATGACGATTGAAAGGATAAATTCGCCTTTCGACGGTACGTCGCGTTAACTCAGGAGAACACGAGTCACGCGGGAGGGCGCGAGAATCCCTCCATCAGCGGTAAATATTCTGGATATTCCGTATTCTTTGGCTAGATATTATTGAGTTTTCTATCATTTTCCTCTCGATAGATTCAATTTCTCGCGATACACTGGAACTGGAGCGAAATCGGATCTCCCGTGTTCGATTGTGAAGGGAAGACGACGGCAGGAGGCCGCCAGTTCAACGTTCGGAGACAGTGCTTTTTGCGTGTAAGGAATGTTATAGAGAATGGGCCAGGGAGAGAGCCAACAGCGCGAGAACCTTCGGAGAAGATCACCGTTTATAGAATAATCTCCGGAGTTGCAGGATATGTTCGCGCTCGTTCCCATTTACCCCCTCGTCGTGATCGATCTCTCAACTCGCCGTCTCCCTTTATCCGTTTATCAGTGTCGATTGCGAAGGAGTTTTCATCTCACGAATTACTTCTGCACTCTCTCCCTGTCACCATAATCTTGACTGCAAACGTGACTCTGCGTCTTATGAGAAACGGAACGTATTGGGGTACGTTAGCCTGGGCGATTTCATATTTTTCAATTTTTTAAACAAAATTCTGTCTCTCAAAATCAGATTCAATTCTCCTCCCCGCCGTCTGGCTTTTGCGAACGCATACTCGTTATTAGGAAAATTCAGCCGATTGTTTTTGAGGATTTGTGACTGAAGGAATACGATGCGCGATAGTGTGATATTAATCAGCATGATATGTAGTACTTACACTGAGAAAGAACACTTGAAAACTTTTCTCTGTGTGAGATATAAAGTTTATTTACAGAAGTAAACTTTATATTTCGCAGCAATGGGCTTTGCATCTCATAAATAAATTTACGAGTATTTTTTCTCAGTACATATATGCGTACAATTACGAATGAAGGAATTGATTTGGATCGCGTTACGCTAAATTTAAGGACACGATCACTTCTGTGAGTTCAAATGACGTCATGGGGAACTTATGTAAGTCGATCGCGAAGCTATAACGACGGGGACTCAACTTTATAACGAGTTGTGTGTGTGTGTGTGTGTGTGTGTGTGTGTGTGTGTGTGTGTGTGTTGAGAGCTTTAGGCGAGTATGCGCGCCTTCATTCACTTGAACTTTAAATTAAAGCCTCTGGCTTCTTCGGCCAATACGTCCGTCCCCAGCATCCGGCATGACATTTGCACAGAAAGAGCGCACGCTACGGACACGTTATCTCAAAACTCCCATGCAAAAAGTCCACCATGGGACGCTAATCGGAATTGCAGATCAGGCGTAAACGCAGCGCGACGCCTGCCGCGTCGGGGGCTCGCAGATATCCACCTCCGCGCGTTCTGCTATTTGCATCCGCCACGGCGGGGGGTTTATCTGGGCGAGACGTCGCGTTCCGTCAAAGATGGAGAAGACCCGAGTGCGCACAAACGAACGGAATTTTCCGACTTTCAATCTGCACGGGGAAGTTCCCCAGTCGGAGCCTAGCCGACGCGACGTTATATTTGACGTCGAAACAAAATACAGTTATCCGTTGCGCGATTATCGAAAGTGAAATTAAAGAGAGTCAATTATTGTCTGAAATTATAAATCCTCGACTTTAATTCCGATCGACGCAACGTTAGACTCCCCCGAAATTAACCAAATTGGTTAAGCTCCCATAGTGACATTAATAAAATTAAAAAATGAATTGATTCCAACAAAGGTAAGTGTATTGTCTATATTTTATTCCTTGAAAGAAAGAATCAAAGTCGTGGAATCTCAACCCTAAAATCATTCAAAATAAAATCTGAGAAGAGTAAAATCGAGTCCGATAGATTCTACCAAGGGTTAAAACAAACAATGATTGACAAACGTTGCGCAATTTCGAAAGGAAAAGGGATGTCCCCTTTTGTGTACATCGTTCAATTAAACGTGCAATAACAGATTGGCCAGGCTCCGACTCACACGTACACACACACACTCGGGCCGCCTCCCCAACGGTAGCTTTGTACGAAGCTTGCGTGCGCCGGAACCAGTACTAACAGAGCAGGAAGCGCGTCGAGCGACGGGCACCCTCCTCGAGCAAGAAACTGGAGAACCTAGTTCGCGTGGCGAATGCCGCGTGTGCCGCACTACGGAAAGCTGCCTCTACGTAACAGAAGATAGGGAAAAACGGCAAGGCCGAGTTACCTTGAGTGTGGTCGATGCTGTCGGTGCTGGCAAGGGTTTGATTGGGGTTGCTTTCCGCCTGGCTGGCCATCGAGTTCAGCTCGTAGCCCTGGCGCAGCAGGGACACCCGGTAGAAGTAGTTGCGCCAGAAGTTCTCCTCGGATATACTGTCGAAAGTGTATCCGCTGAATTTCCTCATAATCCGCCCACGAACGATAGATCGCGATGACGAAGGAATCGAGTTGACGCCGAATCGCCGAGGCGCCAATTAACGTCGCCCTTTCGCGGTTACATTTAATTAATCGCCGCGATTAACCAATATTTCTACGATTTTTGTGCGATATGCATATGTGTTTTTCTCTTTCCTCGTTTTCCCCATAAACTAAACAATTAGACAAGGAAAGCATCTTATTTTCTACTATCCTCTCTTATTTCATTCCTGATTTCATTTCTTCATGTCTATAGACTATAGACTTTCTATAGACTTAACTGCGTGTTAAATACATCTTCACACGGTTATTAAATCGATTATTATATCGATTTTCTCTATCGGTCCTTTCCCTCGGATTTGCCAATCAAATCTCGTGGAACGGCGAAACGTGTTTTCGTTTTCGTCGAAAGACGAGGTAATCTGATTTCGTCTCTTCGTGCGACTCGCATAGATACGAAATTACAAATTGGAAACGGTTCAGTCCCTTGAAAATGTCAAACTGCATACCGAGTTAATTAATCAAACTGCATCTTTACGATCGTGAAATTTCATTTGTCAAGTGCCGATAATTTAATAAGTGAGCATTGTTAATCTTTCCGGCTGCACGCCATGTCGCGTGCTCACAGCGCAATTTTATGGAACACTGTTGTTTTTGCTTCAATTATTCATCTTACAATATAACGTAACACGCGAAATTATTGCTATACTCGATAACGCGCTTTAATTACGTCGTCGTAATTATTTTCCAATCTATCGATATCGTATCTCGCGTGACGCGAGTCGCTTCATTTGCGAGATAACAATAACGTCTCAACAACACGCGCAGTGCGAGGAAGCGGACATTCTTGAAACACTCGCACATACGTCTGCGAGCGGAGAAGAGAACACGACGACGTTGTACTTTATACGTTATGTGACAAAACAGATTCTGATTCACTTACACCTTCGGCACCAGCTCGAACCTCATGGCCTCGAGATTCGGATCCAGGGCGAGAGTGGCCTGTGCCATCGGCTGAACGGCTTCGAAGTCCCAAGCGAATTCTACGCCTGGCGGTGGTGCTCTCACGAAATTACGCCGGTCCTGAAATCCACGAGGACCGGTAGGATCCCTCTTTAGTACGGTCGGCCCGTTTAAGCCATACGCCAAATTCGTGACGCTAATCTACCACGACGATGTGCGAATAAACAGAGGGAAGTGACCCGACAGGATGAATAAACAGCGGCAGAGCTTCCTGGAGGAAATTTCGCCCTCGAGTCAGCCGCCACGAGTATCTCTGAGAGATATTATTTTCTCTTATTGTAAGAAAAATTCTTTCCCGTCGAGGAGGTCGGAAGTCACATATTTATTTTATAATCGCGCACAGGAATTTAATATTTTTCGGGTATTAATAGGATATGATCTTTTCATACAGAAAAGACATGGATGGTTGATCTACATATAAATCTAGTTATACCAATCGGATTCGATAGTAGAATATGAAACAACAAATTATGTAGTTGCACCACAAAGTACATTGCTGAGTTACAGTGATATTTGATTGCTCCAGCCAGAGTGCATCCATAGTAAATGTCACCCCAACCGATTCCTGATTGTCACAAGCAGATTACGCGCAAACATATTGAGTCATATTAACTATATATGTTTGCATCGCACAAAGATAACTCTAGGATAAAGATAATAAAGATAACTGTAGGATGATGCAAATACCTTTAGTTATATGCGCCATATTTTTCCATGAAATAATGATATAATAAGCAAAAGAAAATGAGATATTTGCTCGAAATATCTTTGTGACTTCAATCGTGCAACTGGCGGCTTCGAATGTTCATTTGGAAAATTGCGGGGTCGTTAAGGGAAAAAGAAGTGGAATCGACCGTCAAAAGAGAGAGAGAACGATTTTCCGCGTACGCGGAATATTCTCGTTAATGGCATTCGGCTGACGAAGTTTGCGTTCAACGCGAAGCTAGTAAACGAACCGACACGGAATACGGAAAACATGGAAAAAGCCTCGTAGCGTGGTGCAACGTGACGTCGTTGTGTCGTACAGCGCGTAATAGTTAATAAACGTAAATTGTGTCGCACTCAGGCGCTGACTTTGTGACATGCAGCCGGTAAACCCATCTTACAGTGGAAGCCCTTTGTGCGTCAAAATTTAATAGCCGCGCTTCTGCCCCGCAATCCGTTGCCGCGTACGTGTGGGAATACTAAAATTTAACAGAACGTATGTCTCCGTTGCTCCATTTTCGGTGTTCAATAATATTTGCTACTGCATATTGTATTCGATGAATACTAAGGACACGTTTACCTAAATTTAAATTCCTCTATTTAAATGGAACAAACAGCTAAGATTTTAAGAAAATATCTTACTTAAAAAAAAATATATATATATTTTATATTAGCAAATACGTTACTATCCACCAAGTAAATATTTTTTATTTTTCAGATTTTCCTGTCAATGTAACGATATCTTTGATTGATATCTTTTTTTACGTGATTGGTGAAGTAGTGATAAAGTCGAGTGTTTTACTCACGGTTGAGAGGGACAGACACTCCTCGCGCAGCGCATCCTCGTTCGGCGCGCCGACCCACGGTGCAACAGCCTCGCCCTTCTCGGTCTGCTTGCTGGCGATGAAAGCCTCCTGTTCCTTATTGAGTTCGGCGATCAGCCTCTGCAAAGAAATTAATTTCGTCTTAGTAGAGGTAGACAGATAGATGGTTATTGGCAACACACAAGGGTGGATCGGCTCGGGCTGAAGCGCGAGCAAATAGAGCGTTCCTGGGAAGCGTCGAGCGATCGTTATGAACTACGCGCGGCTTATATAACGACATAACGCGACGCGGTGGCTTTCGGTAGAAACGGCGCAGGTGTGCGATAGATTTCACTTCGCTTCGCGTGGGCTTATTACCTCGTACACATAGGACGACATCCCGCGTCGATTCGTCCTAATTTGTCGGGTATTAACGCGGCCGTGGAGCCACGTGCCGATTAGCCGCGTGCGCAACGATTAATCGTGGTTATGACCCTGGCGAAGTGCCGAATCGGCCAGCGGACGGTAAGCCGCGTTCCGGCCGTTTTCAGGAACGAAATGGATTCGCGAGCGAATCCAGCGCGCTTCGTTAAAAATCCAGTTAATTTATGACCGAAATCTTTTTACACGGCCTGCTTGGACGGTGAAGAGTGAAGAACGTTACACAGCAGGGAAATAATTACGTGCGAAAATTCCGTTGGAAACTCCAGCACGCGGATGTTTTCCCTACTCTGCGCGAATTTATCCCAAGAGGGGGACGAAGTGCAAGTGCACTTTTTCTCGTCGGCTTTACATGAAAATTAGGTCAGCTTTCTTGCGCCGCGGGCAATTATTATTTACATCCGGGAAGGTCGCTAATAGAGAGGCGACCGTCCTCCTCTTAGTTCCCGTGCACTGCTCTTGAATTACGAAAGCGACGAAAAAGCGAAACGCGCGTTCAGTCAAATGAAAAGGACATCTCAGACGCGACGGAGGGAAGCGCAGTGAGTGCAAACGTGGAGAATAAAGGACCGTTGTGCTTTAATGTCGCGGATCGCGTCGCAGCTTCTTGCGTGCCACCAATGTGTCACCGCTGCTGCAGGGAGATCGAGCACGGGTCAATGAAGCTGTCGGACTCGCGTCGCCGGGACCGTGCTTGTACCGGCGCGACGACGGTATTTCCCGTGGCGCGACGGGAATCGATCTCGAGCTATTTCGCTCGCCGGCCTCGCCCGGCTTGGTGAGCATCGAACACACGGCGAAACCTCCTTCCTCGAGATAGAGACCTTCTGCGGAGCGAGCGAGCATACGCGCAGCCTTACTACCCCTTCCCGCATAGACAATTTCTTGGGACTTAATTGGAATTCAATCTGATTTCCCAAAATAATTATGGATTCTGGTTAGGAGCGCGATGTGTTTCAAACACGTGATTCTAAATAGAGAAGCTCAAAGTTTTCACAATATTCTTTCTGGTCTTTATTTTATGTTAGGACTGAATAAAACATGTTGACTTTCCAAATAATTTTGTTATTCAGCAAAATACGCTAAAAGTATTTCAATGATATCTTTCGATATTTTAATAGGATATCACAATATTGTATTATTACTAATATTATTGAAAAAAAGAGCGAAAAAAAGCGCGAGTAGTATTTTTGTTCGGATTCTGAGAGGAAACCCATGTTGGAGACAAGAATGGGATTCCCATTGTAATGGGATAATCAATTTTATGACATTCTAAGCAGAATATGTGCTGCACGGAGAAAATATTGGGAAATATTTCTATGCGGGTTATACGTTATAAAGAGAGTTATATTGGTCGTTGTGAAGGCACGCAACATTGATAGAGAGCAAGCTTTCCGCGATAAGCCGCGAGTATAAAAATTTATTGATGAATGTTAACGCGAAAATAGCGAATTGATAACACGCGGAAACAAGCGGAGGACAGAAAAACCGGCCTTCGGCGTGGATCAACGTGATCTCACTCGTGTGGAGCAAACCGACCGCGTTTACGCTCTCTCTAGCGAGCTTTTTCCTTAGATTATCTGATTCCGATTATTTCGTCGTTCTCAGCAGTGTCGAAAAGCGCGTGATTAACGAGGGTCAGTGTTTTATTTATATCGGTGCAGGTAGTGGGTGCGTATAAATCTTCTTTCGCTCGACCACTCGAGCGAGAAACACCGTTAACTGGTTTCGAAAGAAAAAGAAGAGGAACACTGTGCTCCTCTCACAGACACACGCTCTCATACGTGCACGCAGTTTCTGAGAAACTGTAATAAAGCGATTGCAAGCGCATAAATCACTGGCGCACGTTCTTCCGACCGTTTCACGTCGATGCACACAGCAGGCAATTGAAAAGTTCGCGCGATTATTCCATAAAAGTCAAAGGCCGTGTAAATAATTGCCGGCAAACAATTTTCCAAGCGAGAGAACACGTCCGTTTTCGGCTGTTTTTCGCCCATGTCGAACAGACCACGCGCGTGTATTTTTAGTTGCAATTGCACGGCTCGTTAAATTAGTCGGAGAACTGCATCGGCTTCCTAATGATCACGATCCGCGCACATGCCAATGCGCGTAAGAGCGCGAACAGCGTTGCAGCCGGCTTATCGATTTTCCTTCGCCAATTTTCGCGCATTTGTCCGTTCGCGAATAGAGCGGCGTGCGCGTTTCTGAAAGCGGCTGAAACGAAACGTTTATAGATCATAGAAAATATGAGCGAGCGGTTGTGTATACGAAACACGGATGTACGTAAGCGAGTGGATAAAAATCGCAGGATATTGTCGAGCCACCAGGAAGACTCAACTTATTACCGAAATATCGGCATCGAGGTCACCGCGATTTCATTTACAATTTATGCTCACGTGTCCGAACTTTTTACAACCGATGGTCACGCGAACTTCCGACCTGCCACATCGGGCAGAGTTTCCCGTTGGAGTTTCGCAAAAATGAAAAATATCGGTGCATCTGTCTCCTTTCTCTTTTTTTCTCTTTCCGATCGTGTACGTACCGACACGAATCGGTCCGAATAAATTCATAACCTCGCTGCATTATTCATAACGCGCGAACACGTGATCTCCCTCGGTAACGGTTGCCGACCGTGCTGACGCGTGTTGCCGCTCTGTAACTTGTATATCATCGACTTTGTCAATGAATTGGCTTCGTGCGAAAAGGCGCAGCACACACCGATTTCTCGTCAGCGACAAAATATCGGCGCAATCTTGGGGACAGAACAGGAAACGCGAGAGCTGGAAGGAAAGCAAGCAAGCAAGCAAGCAAGCAAGCAAGCAAGCAAGCAGGCAGACAGGAAGGAAGGAAGGAAGGAAACGTCACATATGTGTACACAGGATATAGGACATTGGTGCCTGTATATGTCGATTTTCGCTGCCACGGAGTGGTATTGCGCGTCGTTGTAGTGTCTCAAGGTATCGATACGTTCCCAATATATACAAGCCGCGCTGGTAAAATTATATGACGGCAAGAGCTGATAGTCTGCGTCGAATTTCGGAGGAAACTGTTTTCCTTGAGATTGAAACGGAGTTTCAATTAAGGAGAGATATTTCACGCTGGAAGTTAAACGCCGGAAGGGTACAGAGAATTGTGGAGAGAATTTTACAGTGAAAATTATTACACAATTTTGTAAGGAATAAATCGACATTCTGCAGTAATTTACTGTCCTTTTACTTCATTTGCGTTATTTATATATCAGAAATTGAACTACGCTATTAAAAACTATGCTATTGAAAAATCTTTTTAATTTTCGTTTATTAACACATTTGCTGTGTTCTTAGCGACAATATTGTCCTTATTAATAGTCTATTTCTGCATCAGTATTGAGAAAAAATATATTTTTGTAAACATTTATTTGTGTGTAAAATATAAAGTTTTATTCGCAGAAATAAAAAAACTTTACAGAAATAAACTTTATATCCCGCGAATAAATCTTCAAGAATGTTTTCTCAATATAAAAACATAGTAAAATTAAAAAAAATGCATATGGAAAAAAGAACTATAATATTTCCTCCGTGTAGAGAGCAACGGAATTTATTATTATGGCACAACACGCGAAGCGGAATGGGCGGAAATGAAATGAACGACGAAGTCGCTACGATGAATTGGTGCAAAGAGGTTGTGCACGGGGCGCGCTATAATCGCAGCGCGATTTGGAATTAAACTTCCCGTCGAGGATATCGTCTGGCACAGCTTTACGTCGTTTCGTCAAACTTATCGCGTTAATTTGCCGCGTTAAAAGTTATATTGTTCTCAAACGCGCGCGAACCGTCGGATAGATGACACCGTTGCATAATTTCTTGCTTCCTCTTTTTAATGTTATCATTCTGAACGCTGGTTTTGCCAACTTAACGTCTCAATTAGAGGTTTAGATATCGGGGTAGATTAAATTTATCCGCGATAAGAGCGGAGTACACACAAAAGTGCGCGGAGAGTAGCGCGGCGAATCGATTTCTCAGCGGTTACAACGAGGCCCGCGATTAATCGTTTCTCGGCCGATTTTATCTGGAATTGATTCGACTAGTTGGATGCCGTATTTTCACACCTTAATACCATCGCAAATTTGATTTATGGCGTTGGGGTATCGACGTACTCGAGGAAAGCACCTCTGCCCCAGGCCGCCCGCTATTGTTGACGTAACCAGGAAAGGTTATTCGTCCTTGGCCGGTCGTGAAAGAACTCTGAGTGAGGAAAGAGAGAGAGAGAGAGAGAGAGAGAGAGAGAGAGAAAGCAAAAGGAAAAATGTGTGCAATTTCAATATATAACGTACATATGTTGAAAGTGGATCGGGATAAATATTGAAATGGAGTTGCCTCAAGAGAGAGAAAACGAAACTTCCTTCGTCCTCGCGGCTACGTGTAACTTTGGCGAGGCAACTTTTTAAGAAATAATTAGAGCGATATAGCGTTGCGAGTGAGAGCCCTCGCGACAAGGTCACAGTATATTTGATCCCTATGGCAGTTAAACGCCACATTTATCGGAAAACTCGCAGTTCTTATTACAAAAATACTCTTTCCCCAGGCGCGCGAGATATAATTTCATCGTTTCTAATAACTCGTCCCTCTCCTGCGCGCCTGATTGCGAGGAGGAAGCTGAAGACGTAATTGAAATCTAACTTCTCTCCTCCCGCTTCTCTTTCCGCCCGACGTCCCACTTTT